GCTTGGCAATGTTTTTGGTCCTTTTTGGCTTTTTTGTTGTATTTTATTTTTTAAGATAGGGCCCTGGTTGGCCTGAAATTTAATATGATCCTCCCGTCTCAGCCTTCAGAATTTTGTAAATAGCATAATTTATGTTACTTTGCCACAGTACTTAACACATTTTTTTGTTCTGTAAAAGAGGCTTATTTTGGGATTTAAGGAATAGTTTCAGAAAACTGCAACAAAATTAGAGAAAACAAAATGTTTCACTAATGAACAAAGTAGCCTTTGTGCAGAAAAAGCCTTCCACTCCTGGAGATTTCGCACAGCCTTGACCACCGGAATTAGAATGCACTGGACAGAGCGACAGACAGCTAAGGTCTCTGCATTTTTGAGTACAGGCAGATCTGAGTCTACCTCAGGAAAATTTATTTTCAGTCACAACTGCAGCAAGAAGGATGCAGGCGAGGTGCAGCTGAGTGGCAGAGTGCTTGCTCAGCTTGGTACAAGCCCAACACCACATAGAAAATGACCACTGTGTTACAGCTTAGCAACATGACAGGCAGATTTAATGGTGCCTGACATTTGTCAGACAGCCATAATAACCTGAGTTCAACCCTGGAACCCTCAGTGCAAAAGAACTGACGTCTAAAAGTTATCCTCTAACCACACATGCACTGTGGCATGTGTGTATCGCATTCACACATAACACAAACATACACAAGCTCACATTTTCAAACATGTTTTATTAAAGGAGGCGGGGAGACCAGTATGATGGCATCTGTTTTCTGAGGCCAGGCTGGGATTTCAAAGCCAGTCAGGTCTACAAAGTGAGATCTTGTCTTTTGTCTGTTTTGAGGCAAGGTGTCTCTCTTACTTAGGGTTTCTATTGCTGAGAAGAGACACCATGGCCATGGCAACTCTTTGTTTGTTTGTTTGTTTGTTTGTTTGTTTTTCTGGTTGAGACAGGTTTCTCTATGTAGCCTTGACTGTCTTGGAACTCATTCTGTAAGGCCAGGTTGGCCACCTACCTCTGCTTCCTGAGCGCTGGGATTAAAGGTGTGCCTTACCACTGCCTGGTGACCATGGTAGCTCTTATAAAGGAAAACATTTAATTGGGGCTGGCTTACAGTTCAGAGATATAGTCCACTGTCATCATGGTAGGAAGCATGGTGGCACACAGGCAGACATGGTGCTGGAGAGATAGTTGAGAGTTCTATATCCAGATCAGAAGGCAGGATAGAGACTGGGACTCACCAGGCCTGGCTTGAGCTTCTGAGACCTCAAAACACACCCCTAGTGACACACTTCCTCCAAGAAAGGCACACTTACTCCAACAAGACCACACCTCTTAATAGTGCCAGTCCCTAAGGACCAAGTATTCAAACACGTGAGTCAACAGGGCCATTAATATTCAAACCACCACAGTGTCACTGTGTTCCTCTGACTGGCCTCCAATAGTATATGCAGATCCTATGGTATGGAACTCACAGAAATCTGCCTGCCTCAGCCTCCTGACTACTAGGTTTAAAAGCATGTACCACTAAGACCCCAACATAAAACCTTTTCTTTAAAAAGAAAAAAATAAAAGGAAAATGGGTGGGGTGTGGCTCAGACTTTAGTCACCAAAGCAGAAGTCTACTTCCTGGGTGGCACAGGATGGAAGTAAAGAACAGACTCTGGTGGGTTGTCCTCTGACTTCCACACATGTCCCCCACACATATATGCACACACATGATAACAGGAGAAAGAGTGACTGAGAAGGTGAGCGACATATACCTCAGGTCTCACCGGCATGCATTCATGAATGTATGCATATGCACAACACCACACACACACACACACACACACACACACACACACACACACACACACAGAGCTTCTTTTTGTAAAGAAAAAAGAAAGCCAGGTGGTAGTGGTGCATGCTTTTAATCCCAGCACTTGGGAGGCAGAGGCAGAAGGATCTTTGTGAGTTTGAGACCAGTCTACATGTCTTAGTATATTTATCCTTCTGAAGGATCTAGTGTGGCCTTCTAAACAGCTGCCTACTGAAACATTTCCTAAACACTGGCGAGATAGCTCAGCGGCTAAGACTAAGTCTGACTCCTGCCCCCACCTACCTGTATCTCCAGATTCAGGAGACCCAGTGCCCTCTTCTGGTCCCAGATGTCATCAAGCACATGTGGTGCACAGACATGCAAGGCAAAACACCCATACGAGTAAAATTTTTGTTTGTTTGGTTTTGAGATAGAGTCTATCTACATAGCCCTAACTATCCTGGAATTTACTCTGTAGAACAGGGTGGCCTCGAACGCAGAGATCTGCCTGCCTCTTCTGGGATTAAAGGCATGCACCTCTACCACCTGGCTAATTTTTTTAATTAAAACATTTTATTTATGATTATTATTATTATATATGTAATAAATTTTTTTACCATGATTAGAATCAAATCTAATCCAGGGTTTCATGCATACTAGAAAGTACTTTATACCAAACTACATTTCCAGTCTCCCAAATTTTTTTTGTTATAGTTATAGTAGCAAAACTGATTTCTTCTTGTTCCTGAGACAGTGTTTCAGGCAGCCCAGGTAAGCCTGGCACTCAGTATGTAGCTAAAAATAACCTTGAGGGCTGAAGAGATGGCTCAGTGGTTAAGAGCACCGCCTGCTTGTCTAAAGGTCCTGAGTTCAATTCCCAGCAACCACATGGTGGCTCACAAGCATCTGTAATGAGATCTGGTGCCCTCTTCTGGACTGCGGGCATGCATGTAGGCAGACTATGGTGTACACAATAAATAAATTAAAAATAATAAAAATAACCTTGACCTGATCTTCCTGCCTCCACCAGAATGTCAGGCTTACAGCTGTGTGCTGCACCCAAGTTTATGCAGTGCTGGGGATTGAACCCAGAATTTTGTGCAGCTAAGATGAGCACCCTCCATCTAGAGTACACTCTTGAGCACCTTGGGCAGAACTCAGCACCCCCCCCCCTTTTTTTTCATTTCCATAGTGTAGATAAAAGCCTGCCATTATTTGAGACCATACTGTGTTTGTTAGAGAAGAACACTGGAGCAGCAACCACAGGAAAAGTGGACCCTGCAAAAGTGGGTAATTATCACATATAGGAGAAGGTTGGTTCTAGGAGCAAAAAAGCAACATGTCATTGGAAGGGTAAGGAGGCAGGGGTTGGGTATGTTGTGGTTTGAAAAACTATGGCCCCCAAAGGGAATGGCACTACTAGGAGGTGTGGCCTTGTTGGAAGAAATGTGTTACTGTGGGGGTGAGCTCTGAGGTCTCCTTTGCTCAAGCTTCCCTCAATCTGACAGTCAGTTGAGTTCCTGTTGCCTGCAAGATGTAGCATTCTCAGTTTCAGCACCACGTCTGTCTGTACACAGCTATGATCCCCGTCATGCTGATAATGGACTCACTTCTGAAAGAGTAAGCTGACACCTCAAATGAATGATTTCCTCATGAGCTGTCCTGATCATTGTGTGTCTTCATAGCAAGAGGAAACTCTAAGACGGGGTATCTCTACTTTGTTTTTTGATTTTTAAAAATTACTTAATTAAATTTTTGTGTGTGGGAGACAGGGTTTCTTAAAACCTAGGCTGGCCTAAAACTTGAGCTCCTGATCCTCTGGCTTCTGCCTCCAAGTACTGGGGTTACTAACGGGTACCCCATCCAGCAGCCCCTATGTTTTAACTTACTTTCCCAAGCTGCAAAGTAGTCCTAGAGGGTTTCTTACATTTTTCTGTATACCCTTTTCTATAAAGCCTTTCACCTTCTTAAACAATAAAGTACTGAACTGATAAAGACTCAGCCTAGTGGTCAAAGTAAAGAAAGAAACTGGATCAGCTAACTGGGGTCCTCCAGTCTGGGTAAACACTTTGTCATCGTGTGCTCAGGTTCGGGAAACCCTGAAAAACTTTCCCTGGAAATCAGAAACTAAATTGCAACAAGGGAGAAGCAGCACCTGCTTCCCCAGACTGCTATGCTTTTCTTTAATCCCCGCCACATCTCAGTTTATGTTATTGAGATTTTGTTTTGTTTTATTTTGTTTTGTTCTTGAGACAGGGTCTCACTGGGTGGCCTTGGCTAGCCTGGAACTCACTGTACAGACCAGATGAACCTAAGAAGCAGTGATTCATCTGCCTCTGCCTTCTTGATACTGGGATTAAGATACCATGTCCATCTTAGACTTTTTATTTCTTAACAAAGAGAAAACAAAATAAAGCCAATACCAAACCAAATCAAAACAAACAGAAAAACATATTAAAGAGGCTTCCTGATGTTTCCTAAACCAGTTAACCTTTTTTCCTAAACAGCACATTGTCCAGGAATAACCTAAATGCTTTCTCCCACTTGACTTTTTCCAATCTTCTTTGTTAAACCATTTACTCTTGTCATCAAATACAATGCCCTACAAAGGCAGCAGAATGTGCCGCCAGGATGACAGTCAAGCTCAGCACCTCACACTCCTCACAGATCCCAGCTGCCCCGTCTGAGCTAGCCCCAGACAGTAACACTTCAGCAGTTCCCACAGCATAGTGCCTTCTGAGGAGCAACTCTGATACAATAGAAAAGCCCATGACTGGTTTGGGAAAAATAGAACAAGTCTAAAACTCAAACTCAGTATTAAAACGCTCTTGCTTTTATAATTTGGCAATTTTATTTCTAGATCACACACTTAACAACTGCCCGAACCTGCAAAATATCAGTAAATACCTATAACCTCTACGGAACAGCTCCTGTAACTTTTATTTTCTACAAAGACAGGGAATCAACAAGTATGTAACCTCTTAGCAACATAATCTAAAACACAGGGTTCCAGAGAGCAGGTAAACAAGACTGTGAGGGGCAAACACACTCAACTGGAAACAACTTTAAAGGTTTCATTCATTTCTCCCAAACTTTCAGAAATGTGCCGAAGTCTTGCATTCCAGTTTCTAAGAGACAGCGACTTTGGCTGTAAACCTGCCTCGTTCCTGCCAAGATGTCTATTTCTCTGTTCGTATTACTCACCGACTGCATCTGGATTTACCGGTCTGGAGACATCAGCTTGCCCCATGATTATAATTGTCTTAGATGTAGCCCACGACAGCAAACTATCCCGGACAAAAGCAAACTTCTCTAAAAGACAAATCCACACAGGGACCAGCAATCCTGTGTCACTGCCGACTGCCAGGAAACAGCACGAGAGCTGGAGTTTCTGCTTTCCTGGACCCTGGGCTCCCGGGCCACTTGTGGCTCTCACAAATGTCTTCACGCAGACTTTCTTCACACAGGAATGCCTGTCATTCCAGAGTGCACAGTGTGTAGAGCTCCGGTGCGGAAGGGGAGGAGACAGCCAACCACAATTGGGCTGCCGGGTGGCACAGCCCAAAAGCCCACACCTCCTCTTCCTGACTTTGAGCTTGGTTGGAAGCCACTTAGACACAGAAGATAGGGAGCCTGCCCCAAAGTACAGCAGAGACCCTAGACATTTAATCACAACAAAACATCCCACATCACCAGCGGGGCTCAGAGTACCAGTTTCATGTGGGTTTCATGTGGGCGTACTTTAGATATGAGCTTACTTACAGATCATTCAGTTATTCTTGAATGTCTGTGTTGTATATGGGCTGATTATTTGTTACTTCCCCATGCACCCATATGTAGAACACCTTTCCTCTGTGTGTGTGAGTGTGTGTGTGTGTGTGTGTGTGTGTGTGTGTTGGGGCTGAAGGGATGGTTCAGCAGCTAAGAGCATTTGTTGCTCTTATAGAGAACTGGGTTCCATTCCTAGCACATACACGGCAGTTTACCACCACCACCACCACCTCATATAATTCCAGTTTCAAGGGATCTAACACCCTCCTTTGACCTCTGTAGGTACCAGGTACATGGACCAAATACATACATACAGGCAAAATGTACATAAAATAACCCCTCAAAAATATATATACATATATATCCTAAATTCTTTGGAAGCGCTGAAGTAAAATTGTATGATTATTTAGCACCTTCCCCACTTTTTGAGACAGTTTCATGCAGTGTAGGCTGATCTCAATTTGGACTAAGTAGCCTTGCACTGATCCCCCTGCCTCCATTTCCCAAATGCTGGGATTTAGGGTGGCACTGCAGGCTCGTGCTACTATATGTAGTTATACGATGCTGGGATGGAGCCAGAGCTTTTGTGTAGTCTAGGCACTAGGCCAGCAACTGAGCTACATTCCAAGTTTCTATTTTAAAACATTTTTTAATGACATTTATTTGTGTGTGCGCATATACCTGTAGAGATCAGAAAAGACATTTTTCACCATGTGGATCCTGGAGAAGAAACTCAGGTTCAAAGGCTTGCAAGCACCTTTTTCTGCTGAGCCGTCTCACTGCCCCTAACTCCTATTATCAACTTGTGTGTGTGTGTGTGCACGGTGTAATATGTGCCTGTGTACATGTATGCAGAGGCTCGTATGGAACCAGAGGTTGACTGATATTGGTCTGTCTTCCCCATAGCATCAACAATCTCTGGGCATGATGCTGGCGGCGTCATGCTCACACATCGAGCAGTGCACCATCTCCCGAGGGTCTGATTATCAGTTTTGACATAGGAAATAAACAACACAAAAATCACAATAATAACAAAAATAACTAAAATGCTAAGGGGTAAGTATGAGGAAAAAACCCAGATACACTCGTGCAATATAACACAGTAACAGTCTGGTTGCCAGGCTTGAGCTGACTGTGGTGGTGGCACCTGTCGGTGACTATCTCACCCCTGGTAGAGGCTTTTCTCCTCATCCGTGCATATTCTCCACTGTGTTTTTCATTTGCCTAGAATTTCTTTCTCAAATCCAGGTGGGGAGGATCTGCCCACCCTTTAAGAACAGGCTCAAATATTCCTTCCTTCACCGAAGCCTTTCCTTAGCCACACTGACAAAATTCTAATAAAGATTTATAAACACTGATTATGTGCCTAACACTGTGTTGGCAACAAAAAAAGGTTTTTCCCTAAGTGCTTATAGTAATAGGAACTACAACGGAGTCTAATGAGCACATAGGCAACACGCAAATATACACATGTGTGTGTGTATGCGTGTGTATGCATGTATGGGTGGGTGTGTCTAGAGGAAGCCAGAGAATGTACGATCAAGGTGAGAAAAAGGAACAAGTATCAAGAGACAGTTATTGAAAAGACAAAGAACTGATTGTCTGCCACACTGGTACAAACCAGCACTTGGAGGAAGAGGCAGAAGACTCAAGTTCCAGGCTAACCTGAACTACGTGGTAAAACTCAAAAAACTCAAAAGAAAAAAAACAAAAAGAATGGACAAAACCAACGGTTCTCAACTTCCCTAATTCTGTGACCCTTTAATATAGTTCCTTATGTTGTTGTGACCCCCAACCATAATATTATTTTCATTGCCACATCATAATTATAATTATGCTATTGTTATGAACTATAATGTAAATATCTGTGTTTACAGATGATCTTAAGTGAACCCTGTGAAAGAGTTGTTCAACTCTCCCCACCCCACCCCACTTTCCCGAAAGGGGTCAAGACCCACAGGTTGAGAAGCTCTGAACTAGGCAATGGTCTTGATGTATGCAACACCTTGAACTGCAATAATCTTCACACTTCCCTGATACTCTAGAAGCTCCTCATGGTCAGGACAATGATGTATTTATCCTTAAATTACCAATGCTTGACATAAGTAGCCTGGTGCACAGTGCACATGCAGCAAGTCCTTAACAACCTGAACCTCCCAGCACACGAACATGCCTCAGGTATGCTAGGAAAGCATTGAGCTCCAGCTCAAGCTCCAGCAAGAAACAGAATTAATCTGAAGCTTTGCTTATGGAACCCAGAAACAAAGGAAAATGTACATGCCTGCAACTCAAAGCTTTCAGGATGTTGGTGTAGGAGAAATGAGAAGTTAAAGACAACCAACATTATACAAGACCGTTTCAAATGAAACAAGGCCATCAGGGCAAAGAGCATGAGCAATGGAGACAAGGAAAAAATGTGCAGACCACAGAGGATTCTATCATTCCAAATGATCATGTGAGTTAAGAAACTCACTTTGGTGGGGGAAAAATGTTATGTTCATAATGAATTTGAAATTTTAATCCTAGCCAGGCATGGTGGTGTACAATTAAAATCTCAGCACTTAGGATGCAGAGGCAGGCAAATTTCTGCAAATTTGAGGCCATCCTGATATACATAGTGAGTTCCAGGACAGCCAGAGTTACATAGAGAGATCCAGAGATCCTATTTCAAAAAAAAAAAAAAAATCCTATCTGGGGGTTGGGGATAGAAGAAATATATATATATGGTAAAAGTCCATGTCCCATTATTTCGCACAAGAGAATTGTAGAAAGTAAGTAAAAGAATATAAATGCCAAGCCCTTCATGTGACAGTAGTGAGGATCAATCAGGGATCACTTTATTTTACGATTAAATCAGAAAAAAAAGAAAGAAGGCATACAGTGAATGGAGATAATTACTCATAGAGTTATGAGGATTACATCAAGAGAAACACCTACAGCTCACCGGCCAGCCAGCATAGCTGATATGGGGACCCTTCGGGGTCAGTAGGAGATGATTTCTCAATTAACAAGAATGCAGGTCGGGCTGGAGAGATGGCTCAGAGGTTAAGAGCACTTGCTGCTCTTCCAGAGGTCCTGAGTTCGATTCCCAGCAACCATGTGGTGGCTCACAACCATCTGTACTGAGGTCTGGCGCCCTCCTCTGGCGTGCGGGCATACATCAAGGCATATGTTGTATACATAATAAATAAATCTTAAAAAAAAAAAAAAACAAGAATGCAGGTGCCAGGCTTAGCAGCAAAGCCTTTACCAGCTGAGCCATCTCAGCAGTCCACTTTCTTCTTTTCATTCAGCCCTTTCAGTCACGCTAGCCATGGGAGGATGCTGCCCATATGGAGGGTGAGTCTTCCCTCCTAAGATAAACCTTCTTTGTAATAAACTTATTTATTAATTTAGGATATTGTGGAAATGCATGTCACAGCACCCATGTGGAGGTCAGGGGACAATTTTGTGGAGTTGTTTTTTTTCTACACTTTTATGTGAATTCCAGGGGTCAAACTCGGGTCTCTAGGCTTGCATGGCAAGCCATTTTACCTGTCTTAGATAAACCTTTCTGGAAATACCCTTCTAAGTAAAGCCTGAGGTGGATTTCCATGGTGCTTCACTGCCCGGTCAAGTTCACAGTGAAGATTAGACATTACAGGACTCTTCCTTTAGATTGTAGAGGTCTTGGTGCCTAAGCCAGGGAATAGGGGGTGTGAGTGTTCTTATCTTTATTTAGAAACAGCCTCACTCTGTGGCTTACCTAGCTTCAGACTCAAGGTAGTCAGTCCTCTTGCCTCAGCCTCCCAAATGCTTAAGGATTTACAGCTTAAGTTACCACCCCTGTGGGATCATGATTCTTAAGGCTTCTTCATGAGCAGAAATAGCTTTTAGCTGAAACGACAATCACAAGCTTGTTTCTTGAAGGTTCTGTTTTCAGGATACATTTTATCTAGAATACCTGGAAGCTGTTAGAAAGGTAGTACTGCACTGGCTGCTCTAGCAGAGACAGATAAGGCTAAGTGCGAGTCGTACGACTTTCCTCTGGTCTCACTAGACTGTTTTCCTAAGACACGAGTGCATTTGGCTCTGTTTTAAACCAAATTTAGAAACAAAGGTATATGTGATGCAAAACATAAAAGTTCTATGAAAAGGTTGGGCGGTGGTCCCGCACTCAGGAGGCAGAGGCAGGAGGCCAGCTTGGTCTTCAAAGTGAGTTTCAGGACAGCCAGGGCTGTTATACAAAGAAACCCTGTCTTGAAAAACAAAACAAAAACAAAACCCAAACAAAACGTACTGTCAAAAAAATTAATTATTCACACCCCCCATACTTCCTGTGATTCTAAAAAATTGAAGGCTGAAAACATGAAAGTGCATTTGAATTACTAGCTGAAGTGAGTTTGATAGAAACAACATTTACATAGTCATCATTAGTTATTTTGCAGGAATTCCTACTGACTCACGGTGGCACCAGGTGTTTATTACTCAGACTTTTTATTTAGGAGAGGATAAAGGCTGGATTCTTCTGTACATAAGCCGGAAAGGAATGCCCCTTAACCTGAATCCTTGCTAGAAGTTCCTGAATAACTTTCAGGTGCCATGGCTAGCCTCAAACAGTTACTGCACTCCCACAGATACGTGACTGGGGGCTGATTCTGCCCAGGTCCTGTCTCCTTTACTTGGAGGCAGTTTGTGAGCTGGCTGAGT